TATGACATGAAATCTCAAGCCAAAATATAAACCCCCATTCCAGCCAAGGACATAATATTTTCAACTTTACAGAATAACAAGTTAGAAACATGATATGCTTATATAAGTGTTCAGATATCTTTCTAGAAGGTCATATTACGAACAAAAATGGAGTCTCTTTGGTTCTATACTTTCTTAGGTGTAACAGGCAAATACATATGTTATTTCTACATATAACACAGCGGTTTTGGGTACCGCTATTATAATAGTAGCTTTTATACCATGGTGGAATTTGGGAGAAAGACCTAGAAAGAAACATCTTGGAGAGCCAATATTAGACTGAAGAAAGTTGAGATCTAAATGCTCCACTCCAAGTAAATTAAAACATTTGTTATTGTGATTTCTCATGATTTGGACTTTGTCTAACTTAAATAATCTGTTCTGACATAAAATAGAATATTTTATACCCAATAAATATTAAAAACATACTAAAACACACTGTCACATTTTTTTTCAGATGGAGATTATTCTGAGAGCCAGGTGGGAAAATATACTGATCCGTCCATATTATCTACTTATTCCCATAGAATATTTCATGTCTTCATCAGGGGTGTCAAACTAGATTTCATTGAGGGCTGCATCAGGATTGTGTTTGACCTTGGAGGGAGGGGCATGGCTGGGATGGCCATGGCTAGCTCAATGTCATTTGTGTCGAGGTGCCTGTGGTTGCCCAGGCGGGTGTGGGGGGGGGGAGATCCAGAGGAGGAAGGTAAGACAAGGGAGAGTGCAAAACCCTTGTCCTCCAGAGGAGCCTCGCTCTCCCTCTCAGGCCCCCTGCAACCCTCTTATGCAACCTCTGCATTTCACCTGCGACGTACTCTTACAACCCTCTGGCAGCAAAAATGGAGCTCCTGCAACTGAGCTCCATTTTCACTGGCAGAGGCACCGCGGGCTGGTCCTTTGCTGTTTCCAGAGTGGCCCTGCAGACCAGATCTAAGCACCCCATGTTGTAAACAAGTCCTCAGTCTGGTCTGCAAGATTCAACCTGCGGGACTTGAGTTTGACACCCCTGGTCTTCATGGAAAATAATTGAAAGTTTACCACTCAGCAAGACTCGTAACAGGTTGTGCCATTTCTCTGTGTGAAAAAATAAACATAAACCTAGCCAGTCAAATACAATAAAGCTGTGAGGCCTAACGGGATGCTTACAGCCTTAATCTCCATCCCAAAAGATTTCTTACTAAGAAGGGTTCTATAATACATGGTATATATTCAGTCCAAAGAGATTGTCCCAGACTGAAATGCAAATAAGGAAATGTTCTCTTAAAGATAATACAAAACATGTAATAGGAGTTTAGAGTAACTGGCCTGGCCTGCAAGCTTATTAACATAAAATCATTGACACTTAAAATCATTGACAGTCAAAATCATTGGACGCACTCCTAATAGGATTAAGAGGCAACATTTTAGTGCCATCTATCCAAAGTTTGAGATAACCAAGTTTCTTACAGTAACACAATTCTAACAAGTTGACACAGGAAGAAATTAAAGATTGAAAGTCCAGGCAAGGAAGCAATGTTTAATGTCAAGACTTCATCATGAACACCTCATAAAACATGTTTCTATGACTGACCATGCTCGGATAGAGTCCTTAATATTGGAAGCTCCTAACTTCACCAAGCACTGCCAAGGCTGAACAGGCCTTCTTGGAGATACCAGGCAACTTGAGATTAACATTTTACTCTTGAGTGGACCTTCCCTCCCAAATTGCCTCTCAACATAACCTTTGTAAATAATATCAATATTTTTGTGGGCTAGGTAGTTCATACGTCAGATCAAGATCAGAGTCCGTAGGCATGTGAGTCAGTTGGAGTCAGGCACAGTTCTACTCTGGTTTTGGTTCTTGAGCCTGGCTTCTCGAGATCAAATGAGCTTGGTCTCTTTTTCAGCTGGTTCCCTTTTTCCCTTAATGAAGGCTAATGAATATGTCAGGGACAAGACAGTCACGAAAGGACATATGTCTCTGAGAAAGGTAGAAGATGGAAATGAAACAATAAGGAACATGAACTGAGGAGTCCTTAGTGCTCCCTGAGCTTGGTTGTTTTGTTGCAGATGTTTCATTATCTCAACTGGGTAACATTATTGGTGCTAGTGCTCTTAAGAGCCATGGTGGCGCAATGGTTAGAATGTAGTACTGCAGGCTAACTCACTGCTCATTCTAGGAGTTTGATCCTGAACAGTTCAAGCCTTCCATTCTTCAAAGGTCAGTAAAATGGGGACCTAGATTGTTGGGGGCAATACGCTGACTCTAGACTGTTTAGAGAGAGCTGTAAAGCACTGTGAAGTGGTATATAAGTCTAAGTATTATTGCTATTGCTAGTAGGAAATAGAAGTGTTCTCAAAGTGGCTTGCCCTGTTAGCATTGGCGGTTTCAATCAAGCTCAGGGAGCACCAAAGACCCCTCATTTCAACCCTGAACTACAAATATTCTCTTCTATCAGAATGTGAACTATAGGATAATGGGCAATTCATAGATTTCATAAAAGCTCCCAAGCCTCCTTGATTCTCCCATTGAAATTTGGAAGCACATCGTAACATATTTTCCATCTCATAATAATCAAAATATTCGATTTTAAGGTTATTTTAATTGGTGAAATAAATGATAATGTTCTTTTACTAGTTATTGTATGGTTTTCCATAGATTGGGTATATTTCACAGTGAATACATTAAGTGAATAAAAATCCCTCTCTGAGGTGGTTCATAAATGAGAAAAATAAATAAATGTTGGCAGCCACTCAAGGTTATGAATGATAATACTGCTGAACAGTTCTAGTGATGGCTGAGTTGCTGTCAGGCTCTCAAAACCAAAGAAAATATGTGATTTTTCCAAGCAAAGTTCTTTATTGTTCCATGCCTATAGACAGAATCTTGCCAGAATAAAGCACTCTTCTACCTACTGTACATGAAGCATACACTCTGGGAACTATTTGGGAGAGACTCGCTTCACCTCCTTCCTCTCACACAAACCTGAACTGAACTGTCTCTTACTCCTCTGGAATGCATCCCCTTCCCTCTGGGAATCCAGACCAATTCAATCCAACACATCTGCCCAGAAAATTGGAAGTCTGAACTGCTGACTTTAACATTGCTGGTGAGTTATATGGGGCCAGAGTAACATCACTGTAAACGTACAGAAACCTTCCTTGTTCTGATGCCATGGCAATTGTGTAGACAAGCATGAAATTAGTTCCAGCAGAAGGGAACTAACATGGTAGATTGAAAGAGTGCCAGGTAGTAGGAAAACGTAGACTGGCCTTTATTTGTCTGACAAATATCAACTATTTGATGTATCCACTTCCCAAGATTTAGGCCCATTTAGTGATTTGCTTCACTCAAGAGCAGACCTGGCCCCTCCCCTTCCTCGTATCTATTGCAGGTTTTAGTTGTAACTGAGGAGTCCTTGGTACTCTCTGAGCTTGCTTGTTTTCTTGCAGATGTTTCATTACCTAAACTGGGTAACATCTCCAGTGCCGTAGATTACATTACATTAGTTGTATCTCCCACTTTTCCTTTTGCTATATAGCTTGTATTTAAAATCATGACAATCTCTATCTCTTTCCGCTGGGGGAAAAAAAAAGGAAAAAGCAATTATGTACTACATTATTCATTCATTCATTCATTCCATTTACTACATATCTCTACTTTGTTTGTTTTTTGTTTTGTTTTGCTTTTTCATAATATTCTAGGCTGTTTACAACCATTAAAAAACTTAGGTATAAAACAAAATTAATACAATTAAAATCATTCTGCAAATCACTTACTGACTGTAAGCTTGGCAAAAGAAATGTGCATGTATCATATTTCTAAATAATGGGGGAAGGAAAATCAAACATAGCTTCTTGGGGGGTGTATTTCCTAGTCTGGAGGTCAGGATACATGCAGGATATATACTGTAGGGCTATATGTAATAGTATGTGAGAAAGACCTTGGGATGAAGAGATGCTACAGAGGGAACAGTCAGATAAGAGAGAGCATAGCCTACAGGTAGACACTGGAGGGAACAAGAGGCTCAAGAAGGGATTGTCTCTAGTTTCTTGGACTGTAAAGACAATGGTGGGAGAATTGTACTTTCAGACTTGCAAGATTGATTTCAGCTTTACCAGGTAGACCAGACAGGAAACCC